CACTGCACTCCAGTCTGGGTGACAGAGTGAGACTCCAACTCAAAAAAAAAAAAAATGTTGCTGGGCCCAACCCTCAGTTAGGGCTCAGCAGGGTCAGGGCAGAGCCCAATAATTTGCACTTTTTTTTTTGAGTTGGAGTCTCACTGCGGGCTCAGGCAATCCACTCACCTCAGCCTCCCAAAGGCGCGGGATTACAGGCTGAGCCATTGAGCCCGGCTAATCTGCACTTTTAATGCGTTTCCATCCCTCTGGTCCAGGGATAACACTTGGAAAAATGGCTTGTTAGGAATAAATGGAAGACAGGAAAAAGGGTAGATTAATATCCCTTATTCCATACTATTTTGTTAGAAAGTAAGCTATTATTTGGTGAAATGTTTTCTTAGGAGGCTGGGTGGGGGGCAGGGGAAGATTGATTGAGACTAGCCTGGGCAACATAGTGAGACCCCCATGTCTACCAAAAAAACAGCTACAGGTTGCACTTGATTTCTCAAAGCTTAGTGTTGTAATTACCTGCAAAAGAATGCCTGAAATCCCTATATCTAGCCCACACCCTAGACCAATTAAGTGATAATCTTTAGGAATGACTCAGGCAAACAGGCATCAGTGCTTGTAAAGCTCCTCAGATGATTCTAGTGCTCAACCAAAGTTGAGCACAACCAAAAACACCCCCTCAATCAATGGGCACAATGAATAGGTAGGTTATAGGTGTGCCTGAGTCTCAGGATTTAGAGCATACAAGCAGCCCTTGGCTAACAGCCTCTTCCCTTGACCCCTGTGTGGGACTATGTTAAAGGCAGCACTCCTGACTGAAGAAAACAGTTCATTTGTTTTGATGAGATGAGTTTGTCCCTATAAAACCTCTACCTCAGGCTAGTAGTTACAGTGAAACATATTTTAGTAGATGTTAGATGTTGGTCAGCAGGTCTGCTTAAAGTAGATTAAAAACCAGTTTTATCTAAGTCGGGCTCGGTGGCTCAGCCTGTAATCCCGCACCTTTGGGAGGCTGAGGTGAATGGATTGCCTGAGCCCGTGGGTTCGAGACCTCATCTCTACAATAAATAAAAAAAAATCAGCCGGGCGTGGTAGCGCACACCTGTAATTCCGGCTACTTGGAAGGCTGAGGCGGAAGGATCGCCGGAGCCCAGCAGGTCGAGGCTGCGGTGGCCGGGAGCGGCCACTGCACTCCAGTCTGGGCGACAGAGTGAGACTCCAACTCAAAAAAAAAAAAAAACCAGTTATCTGAATGTTCAAATAAACCTCGTTATCAGCAAAGAGCTGAACTTCATTATTAAACCGAAAGGCATATAATTAGTCCATGATATTGAATATGATGCTCACCCTGAGAGTGGGAAAAAAACCTCTTACAATTATAGAATTGGATTATAGAAACTTTCTCTTTAATCAAGGCTTTTAACATGGAACAGATTTCTTGAATAAAACGGAAAGTTTCCAATACAATGAAACATCAACCCACAAGTCACCATACGTACAACACCCAGCAGAAAAAAAACAAGACAGCAAGTTTACACGATCCCTATAACAGCCGCAGTCTTAATTTCAGATGCTTCCTCCGTCTGCCAAGTGTGTTCTGGATATAGAGCACACCGTGGCTTTGGGGGTCACATTCAGTAGAGGCTGTGGCCACACAGCTCTCATCTGGCTGGGCTGTGATGATGCTGGCTCTACTCAAGAAGCAAGGCAGTTACCAGCAGACTCAGACAGTGCACTGAACATCTTTTAAATATCAAGTGAGAAACAAGGAGCAAAATAATGTTATCAGAGGGATATTAGAAAATAAGAACAGCTGTGTCAAGCTTGAGACTGAAAAGTGGCTCGCCAACTTCATTTCTTTGGCTTCTTGGGCAGTGGGCGGCGAAACAGCAAGATGTGAGGTTCTGAAAGAACGAGTGAAATCTAAGAGACAAGCTCATGCCATTCTATGCATAACCTCAAGTGTATTCCGCCACCACCTCCCAGTGATCACCCACTCAGATCTTCATAACTAAATAAAGATTGGAGCATATGGCCTTAGAAGCAGACCCAGAAGTCTGGACTGTCTGCCAAGCACAGAATTGTCAATATCAGTTCTTTTGCTATGTTTGTACAGCCATGGGGTGTCCTTTATTAGTTTTGCCTGGCAGCTGGGTGTTTAGTGTCTTATTAAGAAAGATACTTTGCTTATTTGGAATATACCCAATAATTTGTTTTGTCATGGAGAATAAAGCAGGGGCCATGACCAAGGTATATATGGCCTTAAAGAGTACCTTCTGACTGAATTAAAGATTACAGGAGGTTTGTCAGTGACAGGTTGTTCCTGAACTTCCCAGATACATTAGCCTCATTCTTACTTTTGGTCACTGCCATTTTTTTCAGTGGCTGGTGAGGGACAGACCAGTAAACCACTCCCCATCCCCCTATCTGGGTTACACAATCTTACTCCTTCATTTCCTCATGGTAGCAGTTCTAGGTGGTTGCTTTGAGCCATTGCACTGACCTGGTTCATGGATCATATAATGGACCCATCCCTGACTCTGCTGAACGCCAAGGTTCCTCCATTCAGATTCAGACATCAAATGGGTTTTAGGGACCAGTTTGGCTATGTCTTTGGGCAACATGACATGCCTGTAACAGAAACAAGGCGGGGGGGAATTTGTGTCAGTATGGGGTACAGTCTCTTAGACACGTGCTTGTTTATAAGGCCAAGAAAGGAAAGAAAAACCGATTTCTGATATCAGGGAGTTTAAATGATCTTGTTGTGGGATAGCGGCAATTAGAAATACAGGCCAAGTTATATACATTCTCACAAGAGTATATTAAAAATATAAATTAGCCGGGCTTGGTGGCTCAGCTTGTAATCCCGCGCTTTGGGAGGCCAAGGTGAGTGAATTGCCTGAGCCCGTGGGTTGGAGACCCACCTGGCCAACTTGGCAAGACCTCATCTCTGTAATAAATCAAAAAAATTAGCCGGGCGTGGTAGTGTGTGTCTATAGTTCCCGCTACTTGGAAGGCTGAGGCAGAAGGATCACCGGAGCCCAGTAGGTCCAGGCTGCAGTGGCCCGGAACGG